TTTCGCGGACGACCCGGCTATTGCTTCACTAAACTAGAATAGGTGAACCAATGCCCCACCTTACAACCCTACCGTTCTGCTGACCGCTTCTCTAAGGCTGCTTGCGTTGGTCCTGGAGAACTTGATGTTGGTTCTAATACCACGATATTTCGTTATGCCATCGATAGGGCAACAACGTTCAGCAATACAAATGCCTGAGCACAACAGTACCTATGTCAAGGCCAACCCCAAAACGAACAAGACCAATGAGAACGTCGTCATCCTTCTGTCCATCTGTGTCACGTTAGGCAAAGCAATCCTTCAGCCAACCTACGGCCTTTGGGCCTCGTCTGAATTGTCAATGGCTGATGTATTGGCAATTTTCCTGTAAACATCTGGCTGCGGTAGTATGGAAAGCTGTTTGGCACACTACAACATTGTTGGAAAAATTACGTTATTTACATGAATTTCGATAGTAATGTAAACCAATGATATAGTTGGATACTTTATAGTTGAGCGGCTGCCGCGTGAGACGCAGGTCCTCACCTTTTCTTTGATCCTTCATGCCTTTGTGCGCTCTGTACTCACTCTTATGTTAAATCCATTTTGTTATTATGTTTTCGTTTCATTTTATTATTCAGTTTATTATATTTCTTCTGATTCACATTCATCAAATGCCATAAATTTTAGTTTCCCCTCTCAAAGTCGTCTTAGCTCTAAATTAATTTTCGGGTGAATGATTAAATAACTAGACTATTTAAAATTTTCCTCAATCATTATTAATGCCGTTTACAGAATTTTTTTCACAATATTTGATGTAGCCAGATGCAGATAGTTTAATTTTCTAGCATGAGTATTGTTTTAGGCAGTCACTCATGCTTGCGAGATTTGATGTTGCCACTTGAAGAAATTTTGAATTAAAAAAAATGTTGCCATTTACATTTATTTTTGTTATTAATTATCAAAAAGTATTATATAAATCAAGTTTAATATAAGTAGATTTTTGGTATCCCATTCCTATAGAAGAATTAAATATTTTTCATAAAATTGAACGAAAATGTTGACAAATACTTAAAAAACCTTGAAATTACTTGAAAAATGTATGGGCACTAAATCTATTTCCGACCAGATCTAATAGGCGGGTGGCGATTTAGGTGCAGTAACTATTCAAAGGTGACTTTTTGATTATTGTTTCATTGCTTGCCATTCTTTACACTAGGTCATAGAATCCAATTATGCATTTCGTTATAGAATAGATTCCCATTTATATTCTTATTTTTATATAACTAGCTTTTCAAAACGCTAATACATAGTGTACAGAATTAATAGTGTACCCAAATTAACAAGTTCTTAGTTTACAGATGCAAACGCTTCAATATCGCATCTTCCTGAACTTTTTAACGCTAGAATAAGAAAAAAATGCTGAATAGAAATGCAACGCTGAGAAGTTTTCTTTGTCTTTGCTTGAGCATCGTCTCGCGAAAGAGTCTGCGTTGCGTAGGAAGATACCAACCAACCGGGTCGACCAGACTACAGTTTACGTTAAGCGACGTGGCGCGGATGTGGTGCCTGCGAAATGACAGCTCCAGGCACTCCAGCAGAAGTTGCGTGACACCGCAACGGGGCAGTTGGCACTGTGGGCAGAAGACTGGTCTTAATACGTATTGTCTAACAGACGAATCAAAGAGTTGGATGATGGGTGCAGCAGAGCCTGGTGAGACGGACTCAAAACTCTTCGTGATAGTTTCTCTGTGGTTGATTAGTGTGTCGTAGGTGTTCAAGGTAATATTTTCGGTTCACTCGTATAACAGCCTACTAAAATTTTCGAAGACTCTAATTGTAAAGAATTTTACTGAATATACTTCTCCCGTGTACATAAGGTTGGGACCTTTTACGTAGGACCAGAGTTGATGAGCTCAGACAAAATTCATTTTGAACCAAACTTGCCCGAGATTGTTCAGCAATTTGGTATGTCATCATTTATTTATGATATGATCCTTTTATTGCTTGTTAACATTGTTTTTTTTTTCTATATTGTTTGTAATCTCGAATAACCTAAATTTTGTGTTCAGATTGTTCATTTTTTGTTTTCAGAAACCGTTACCATTCACAACGAGTTTTCGTTCCGAACAATCCCCCGAACAAAGAGCCATATTCTTTACACTAATCTTATCTACAGCTGAATATTGTTTAATCGTTTCCGTCTAAGTCCCACATTAATAAGGATACGAATCTGATACTAACTTATTTTAAAACTTTCGATGGTTAGCCTCATTTTCCCCTGGTAAAACTTAAATAATTAGTTATATCAGTTCATTATACAAAATTGCTCTTCTGTCGTCGTCACTGCAATCATCATCTTCTTTGTAATAGATTGAGAGTTTAAAACTTATTGGATTCGGGAGGCAGCAGTCTTCCGTTACTGGAGGCCATCAAATCTTTTTCTTCGTCGTCAACCTCATTTGAATCTAGGTTTTCGTCAGACAGCTGCCCTGAGTCACGTTCAACACAGACACAATGTGAAGTCATTAGGCAAATGTCTGAGTTTTGTGTCAGGTTCCCATGATAACTTATGTATATTGATGGGCACTGATATTCGTGCCCGTCTTGTTGCATAAAGCGGTTAAGTCACATTGAAAATGGGATGCAATTTTATCTCATAAATTCTTCGATTCGAAATATACTTTCACAACTATTTGCGTATGAGCAATAAGCGCTCAAATTTGAAATTTCACCGTCACTAAAATGTTTGATAAAGATATGTTATTCTTCATTTCTCATCACTACTTGAATTAATAAAAGTTTCAACATGAATCTAATTATATGTGGAACCTGCAGCACCTGATCTAATAGCAGCATTATGACTACCTGAAGCAACTGAAATACTCGAGGCAAATGCAATTCCAAAGGTACCCCGAACAACCTGCAACCCGCTACGTACCCGAGCCTCTATATAAGCTTGCCGAGTGGCTCCACTGGAGCACTTCTGAAGATCCTAAAAACTTGAATTTTGGCTCGCATGCTTATGTTGCTTAACAATTCAAGATTTGGTCATCAGAAGTAATAACTAAAAAATTTTTTTTAATTAAAATAAACTCTAAAAATTCACGGTTGGGAATTGAGTTAGTTGTCGCTAAATTTTACAATTGCTAAAATTGCTAAACTTAAAGGTAGAAAATGAATAAAAATATGAAAAAATACATTTTTAAAAATCACGTTTTTCTGGTGGTTATAAAACTAAAAACAATGAAATAAAACATATAGAAAAAAAACTTTTAAAAACCACGTTTTCATAACGGACAAAAAAGAAAAACATTGACTCTTACATAGCATTAAATAACATTTTACATAATTTTAATGTTATGTAGGAGTAAATGTTTTTCTTTTTTGTCCGTTAAAGAAAACTTGTTTTTTAAAGTTTTTTTTATTTGTTTTATTTCATTGTTTTTAGTTTTGTAACCACCAGAAAAACGTGGTTCTTAAAAATATATTTTTTATATTTATTTATTTTTTGATGAATCCTTTTCATGTGTTAAGAATGAAGGTGTTTCTCCATTTGCATTGTTCCTACTCTGAGTGTGGACTAAATTGTTAATAGGGTCGTCCCTGCACAATCGTACTCATCTCTCCCTCCCTGTCTCCATTTTTTAGGACTCATAAAGAACTCTATAATATGCATACCGAGAAGATCTCGTTCACGTTCAAAATCCCGCCAAGCATTAGGGATTGTTTCCTCTTTTACCAATCGAAATGCTGCTCAGTAATTTGCACCCGATTAAATTTTAAGTTAGACAAATTGTTGAAAGTGACGCCTGTCTAGCTCACTGTGTGCCGTAGTTCGGTGTCACCTCATTACCCGCGTGACATCATGACAGAGATGCAGATGGCGCTGGACTCTAAACCAGTGGCATCTAAAATGCTGATAAAACTCTCACACGATACATTTAAACGACGTGTACCAAACGAGCCTAATTATTGGCTTTAGTCAATTCTATTTTAAATACGGCTTCGCTCCTTTTGATTTGACCGGCGACAGCGTCACGCAGTGGGAAGGTGTCCTCAATAACGCGCTGCGGCTAGACGCTCCTGCCGTGCGGTTAGGCTCGCTCTGCGGGACAAGCTGCCAATTTTGGGTCAACTTCTCACGGCAGCCAGCAAGACTGCACGGGAAATCACTGCCTGCATTCGTTCCAGGAGATAGGGATTTGTGTTTATGTGTTTGAATACTGAACATATTGATTACAAAACGTAATGAAGATGGCATTGGTAGTAAAAATTAATGATACACATTGAGTAGACTGGTCCGGTTTTACAAATGTAGTTGGGCCTTGATATTTCAACACATTTACACAGCAATTGCTATTACATGAATGCAGAAATAAGCTTCGGGACCTTTGAAGTTTTCTATACAAATTCTCTAAATTAGCACACATTAAGGTCATTAATGAGTTATTTGGTGTGTTAATGGGACATTCAGGTCTTTCGTTTTCCGTAATCTAGTTTTGATATTTACATTCTTGTGCGAAGATTGTGTTCTCAGATCAGTAGTAGATCATAAACGAACTTGAAACTATGCCGCTGAGCCGCTCTGATTGTTTTGATGTATAATGATTCTTCGTCTAAACTCTAAAGCATAAGCGAAAGTTTCTCTGCAGAGCGTAAAAATTGGTCAGCATAGCTTTGTCTTGAAGCGACACACCGTCCGGGACCGCCCGGGGGGACTACAGTAGTTGAAACTAATTTGAGCTTATATAATTTATCTAAAGTATAAACAATGAAAGCCACTAATTATAAGTTTGCACATCATTCTATCGTTCACAGTGCATTAAAATGACTGAGAAGTCGATGACCGTAACTTCCCAGTTCTAGGTAACCAGCAGAAATCTCAATTTCTGGCACCAGTTAGTCATTCTGATTTCTGACTCATTCAGTGTTATCGTAGAAGTGTTGGTGAGAGGTGTGTGAGCCACGCTGCTCGGAGAAGAAGGAGGCACCCGTTCGGCGCACGTGTTGTGAACAATTGTAGCGCTGTATTCCGCAACGGAACAGATTGATTTTTTAAGCAGATAGCATTCAAGTGACCCAGTGCTAATCTATCACTTAGTGTTATTACATATAATTCAAGTCTTCAATGCAGTTTTCGTTCGGATGAGTATGCATTCAATGCCAGGTATGTCAAGGTCTTTGCCTCACATACCTTACCAGCTACTCATTGCCTGGGCGACCAGCTATTTCTTTTCCTGGAATCCTTTTGGCTAGTTGATGATTTGTACCCCATCATCTTGGATTTCATTTGGTCCTCAATTCACGCCTTATGTTAATGTGTATTGTTGATTGATTGAAAAAAAAAAAGATGGTGAGCTCACTGTCACAGAGTCACTCAGCTCAGCTGGGTAATACTAATGCTAACTGCTACCTAGGTAAATAGTAGTGATAAGTTGATAACTAATGGCGCGGGGTGGAAGTCTAGTAATTGTGGTTCATATATTAAGAATTTGAGGATTGATCCAGCCGTGTAACCTTGATCAGTCCATAAGTATCGGCTATATATAAAAAACAAGTTTAGTTCCAGATATATAGGTTCAATACCATGTATCATGATGTATGTACCTACGGTATTTGTTATATATATTACCCTTCCTGAATTTCACCTACCCATCTACTGATGTTAAAGGGTCGTGTTGACTTTTCACACGATGTTCTCCTTGCCTGTATATACGGTATAATATACCTGATATTTGTTTATTAAATGTATGACTGTGATAGTAACGTTCAGATTTTGTGTTATCAGAGCGTTTATTATGTTTTTTTGTTTAATTTCTCATATTTGTTTCAAATTCATCTCCATATTTCATTGGATGTGTAATTCACTCTAAAATGGCAAGAAGAAATAATTTATTACTGAAAGAAGTCAACTCGTTTCAATGAAACTAAAACAACCATTAACGGCAAAAAGTAATACTTTCATTTGTTGATTTTTTCATTGCACATGTACTTCTTTAAAACGACAAAAATTAATACTTTCATTTGTTGAATTTTTCATTGCACATTTACTTCTTTAAAACGGTAAAAAGTGATAATTCCATTTGTTGATTCTTTCATTGCTCAATGACTTCTTTAGAATCACAAAAAGTAATACTTTCATTTGTTGGTTCTTTCATTGGTCATTGACTTCTTTAAATTTACAAGAGGGCGTTTCTCTGATATACTTCTTCTCGAAGTAAAAGCACTGCATGCAATACATTTGTGGACTGCCTGACCACTCATCATCTCTTCGAGCAGTCCAGCCCGTGGTTAGGATTAAGCTCATGTCTGAAGTTAGACTGAAAGTATTAATGTATATGGGATTGACCGGGTAAAAGATAGTTCCTAATGTGTATTTTATTTCATTATACATCAATGTCTTTGGGATTGACAGGGTAAAAGATACGTAGTTCCTAATGTGTATTTTATTTCATTATACGATGTAGGTTTCCAACCACACGTAACCCTCGGCTCCGAGCATTAGTTTCATACAAGACCCTGGTCTAGAAAACTCACTTGCGAGTAGTTTGAATTAACTGGCTGCATATCCTACCTTGGAGCTTTTATTTTGATTCAATTGATTAATGAGTAATGTGTTTTGCAGGTAGTATGGCTGCATTTATTGCTACGCTTGTACCGGATGGTAGGAAGTTCTTTGTTGTATACTTACTACATTGTTCTGGTCCGCATTGTTGCCTTCCGCTCCTCGTGCTTTGTACACGAGTCTCCATGTCCGGACACGATTGGAACCTCATCAGCCTCGTGATTTATGAACATGAATAAAAATGACCTTGACAATCATTGAGTGTGGTCGAATTACATGTATTTGGAATGTGTCTCGCGATACCAGAGTGAAATTTTTCGAATCCGGAGTGAAATCTTGCGAATTTCGGGCAAGCAATAAGTCCGGTTTTTTAAATGTTTATCATAATATCGGTTGATAATATTTTAAAATAATTTCTTGAAATAAACTGCGTGCTGAGCATACAAAATTACCTGTACATCGCACTACTACAAAATTATTTAATTGCTATTATGCTGTACCTGACGCATTCATTGTAGCTGCCAAATTCCATTATAATTAATCAGCAGAATTCATTCAAAAACAGAAAAAAATTTGAAACATTTTTAATGTTGGCTTAATTAATTTTGGGTGGCTGAAGATATTGACATTTTCCCCTGCTTCACCCTGGGTATTAAATTCGCTGAATATTACCACGTGAAGACTTGTAGTCTTATTATAGCTGAGTTGTGTTTATGCCTCGTGTATACCTCAAATGATCGTTAATGAATCGCTAATTCTATTTTGACTGCACAGAATCATGATCTAATTGATTAAGCGGTCGAATGATCAACGTACGACCTCTTAATCTGTATTGGTTGAGAATATTGCAGCACAAAAAAAGACTGTGTTATTTCGTACTGTATCCGACAACAGCAGAGCTGCATGCGTGCTTTATCAAGCATTACAATATTCTGCTTCTTTTACTAAAATGTAACTCTGTTCTCGGCTATAATTCAATATCCTTCCATTAATACTCGTTGTAATTTAGTACTCCGGTAACGAAAAACTGGCTGACCGAGATGACGTGCGAGACCAAACGCTCGCCTGTTTACACTCCAGAAATAGCCTGCAGTGTAACAGCTCCTGCATGGCGCTTTAGTCCTGCATTCATTTATAAATCAATTCAAAATAACACGCTAGCTTAACGCTACGGATGAGATCTCGGAGTATAACATATTGAGCTCAGTGAATGATAGCTTTATTAAAAAATATTAATATTCGACTTGAAAAATGTGTTTTTTAATGCTTTTCTTATCACTTTATATTGCAACAAAGCATGACTGTTTAAGCTAGTATTGATTTGAATGGTCATGATTATGATAAGATTATGGGCTTTGGTAATCCTGTAAAATCAATACGTATTTCTGCCAGCGATTTCAGATAGCAGTTAATTATAACATTACGTAATTCTTCGGCAATCATTGATCCTCATTCTTTACGACGTCGATAAAAATATGCGGAGACTCGTGATAGAAACAATGATGATGGTAGAAAGATTCGTCAATGATGATTTGGCGCATGAGATTTAAACTTGGAAACTATTGTTTGTTGAACTATATACTCGGAGCCACTGTTTATATCGGCGAAAAATCAATGGATGCGCACGGACAATTTTAAGTGTCTTCGGCGTTTGCGGAGATTCTTGCTGCACCTCACCTGATACAGAACGCATAGTATGAAACGATGTACTCAAGCAAGTATTTTTAATTGACATGAACTAAACTAAATTCAGGAAATCACGATAACATAACGACAGTGTTTAGAGAAAAAAAGTGCACCCAACGTTAACGAACGAAATGAGGGCTTTCCATATTACACTAATAACATGTAACTTAAGCTTCTAAATGTCCGCCATCGTTTTATTCTCTCTTTCATTGATAATTGGTGATTTTTTGGGGATTTCTTAGTTTTTCCTTGGGACTTGGAGAAGGGAACGTTGCTTTCGAACCCGCTTGGACATCAACGTGGGCAACTGTTATGCAATACGGTAAACAACAGTGAAGGGATACGAGTGGCTGCTCTAACAGCTTGCGACAACAGCAGGACTGCGACAACAGCAGTACTGCGACAACAGCAGTACGGTACTGCGACAACAGCAGGACTGCGACAACAGCAGGACTGCGACAACAGCAGTACTGCGACAACAGCAGTACGGTACTGCGACAACAGCAGGACTGCGACAACAGCAGGACTGCGACAACAGCAGTACTGCGACAACAGCAGTACGGTACTGCGACAACAGCAGGACTGCGACAACAGCAGGACTGCGACAACAGCAGTACTGCGACAACAGCAGTACGGTACTGCGACAACAGCAGGACTGCGACAACAGCAGGACTGCGACAACAGCAGTACTGCGACAACAGCAGTACGGTACTGCGACAACAGCAGGACTGCGACAACAGCAGGACTGCGACAACAGCAGTACTGCGACAACAGCAGTACGGTACTGCGACAACAGCAGGACTGCGACAACAGCAGGACTGCGACAACAGCAGTACTGCGACAACAGCAGTACGGTACTGCGACAACAGCAGGACTGCGACAACAGCAGGACTGCGACAACAGCAGTACTGCGACAACAGCAGTACGGTACTGCGACAACAGCAGGACTGCGACAACAGCAGGACTGCGACAACAGCAGTACTGCGACAACAGCAGTACGGTACTGCGACAACAGCAGGACTGCGACAACAGCAGGACTGCGACAACAGCAGTACTGCGACAACAGCAGTACGGTACTGCGACAACAGCAGGACTGCGACAACAGCAGGACTGCGACAACAGCAGTACTGCGACAACAGCAGTACGGTACTGCGACAACAGCAGGACTGCGACAACAGCAGGACTGCGACAACAGCAGTACTGCGACAACAGCAGTACGGTACTGCGACAACAGCAGGACTGCGACAACAGCAGGACTGCGACAACAGCAGTACTGCGACAACAGCAGTACGGTACTGCGACAACAGCAGGACTGCGACAACAGCAGGACTGCGACAACAGCAGTACTGCGACAACAGCNAACGTGGTGGCGTGTAAACGAGGTGGCGGGTAAACGAGGTGGCGTGTAAACGTGGTGGCGGGTAAACGTGGTGGCGGGTAAACGAGGTGGCGTGTAAACGTGGTGGCGTGTAAACGAGGTGGCGTGTAAACGTGGTGGCGTGTAAACGTGAGTGTTTATGCTTTTTGCCTTACTATGTTGAGGAACTCAACGTCTGCTTCACCACGAGTCTCTGGAGGGATGGCGACAAGCAGTGTAATGCTTTCTCTCTTCAGTTGAAGAATTGGTTTAAAATTAGTTGCAAATATGATTAAAATGAGGTTCTTATTAGGCAAATAACTCAAGCGACATTCCATGTAAACATCCCCCGGATAATTTTTTTTTATGTTTGTCTCCTACATTCGACCACATTCTCCTATATTCACAAACACACCTATTCAGCTATCACAATAACTTGCATGTCGTGATTATCTAATTCAATGTTGTACCTTGGGCGAATTTTGCTGCTGAATGAAACTGACTAGACTGATGGACAAGCCTCAGCTTAAATAATACGTATTGTTGTACCAACATAATA